AACAGCAGCTAATGTCTTTGAAAATACTCTGGGAGCCGCGGAAAGGCCGAATGGCAGTACCCGGTACTGATAATGATCTGTGCCCACCACGAAACGGAGGAACCATCTGTGCACAGGGTAAATAGTTATGAGGAAATAGGCATCCTGCAGGTCGAGGGCTATATACCAGTCTCCGTTCTCTAATGCTGGGATTATTGATGCTAGGTTAACCATCTTGAATCGTTGCTTTCATAAATAGTCCTCCATCCTCCCGTCTTTCTTGGCATGAGAAAATAATGGGAATAAAATCCCTTGCCTCTGAAGTCCTTGGGTACTATTTCCATTGCTCCTAGGCTTAGCAGTCGCTGCACCTCCTGCTTTAGTAGGTCTTCATGAGAGGGGTCCCTAAAAAAGGAAGGGGAGGTGGGGAGGTGGGTAGAAGTGTGGTAAAGGGGATGGTATACTCGGATGTTATAATTTCAAGGACCCACCCGTCTGTTGTGATGGCAGCCCAGAGATGACGGAAAGGCCTTAAACAGTGGTGGAACACCATGGTAGACTGTGATGCTCTGTGAGAGATGGGAAGATTCTGCAGATCTTCGACCAACAGGTCAAACTTGCAGCTTATTCGCCTGGTTGCAGGTATTACAAGCACCTGGTGGTCATCTCCTCTGTGGCACTGCTTGTTCTTTGATTGATCAAAAGGGCGCTGTTGGTATCTGGAGTAGAACTCTCACTGCTTTTGATATGGGGGTATTGCTTTCGATGGTACGGGGAAATATACATCCCCAGCGTTGTCCTGGAGTCTTTACTAGAATGTAACACATCATCTATCTTTTCAGCAAATAATTTGTATTTGTCGACCTTCGAATGCAGCTCATGAGAGACCCCCGCCAACTGTAGCCAGGAGGCTTTCTACATAACTACTGAGGTCGGGACAGCCCTGGCTGCTGTGTCTGCTATGTCAAGTGCTATTTGGAGGGCTGTCCTAGAGGAAGCATAGCCCTCCTGAATTATGGACTTCAGTACAGGTCTCTTAGGGTATGTCTAGACTACATGGCTCTGTCGACAGAGCCATGTAAACTAGTTTACCTGACACAGTCAATGAAGAGGAGTTTTAAATAATCCTCACTTCATTAAAATAAAAATGGCCGCCACGCTGTGCCGACAATCAGCTGATCCAGCACAGTGCAGCAATCTAGACGCAAATTGGTCAACAAGGGAAGCCTTTGTCGACCGCTCCCTTATGCCTTGTGAAATGAGGTTTACAGGAGCGGTCGACAAAGGCTTCCCTTGTCGACCGATCCGCGTCTAGACTGCCACGCTGTGCTGGATCATCTGATTGCCGGCACAGTGCAGCGGCCATTTTTATTTTAATGAAGCGAGGATTATTTAAATCCCCACTTCATTGACTATGTCAGGTAAACTAGTTTACATGGCTCCATCGACAGAGCCGTGTAGCCTAGACATACCCTTACAGTCTGGTAAGTGCTCTAGAAGGGACGTGAGTTTGGTGTAATTATTGAAGTTATGATTAGAGAGCAGCGCTGCGTAGTTGAAGTTATGATTAGAGAGCAGCGCTGCGTAGTTGGCTATATGCAGGAGTAAGGTCGAGGAAGAATATATTTTCCTGCCAAAGAGATCCATTTGTTTATTATCTTTGTCCACCATGTTTTTGTATTGAGGGAGTTTGGCTCTATGCTGGGCAGCATTAACAACCAATGAATTTGGTTGAGGGTGGGAGAATAAGAAATCAGCTCCCTTTGGAGGGACACAATATCTTTTGTCCGCCCTTTTGTTAGTTGGCGGTGCTTATGCTGCCAAATTTCATCAGCTGCTTCCATGATGACCTCGTCAATCGGTATTGCAATTCTTCCCAGTTTGTGATGGTTAAAGATTCTTGAGCAACTTGTGTTGCTTTTCTGGTACTTCCGTTACAGTGATGTCCTGAGATACAGCCAACCTCTTTAAAAGCTCCTGAAATTGCCTAAGATCATCAGGAAGGGATTGGTCCCCATGTATGACCATTTTGTCAGGGGATGAAGATGATTGATCAGTTAGTGATACATCTGGTGGGTGCTTCTCCACTTCGACCTCTGATAATTGACCGTCTTCTGGTTCAGAATGGTGAGCCACAGAGGGAGCATTGAGAGGTGATCTCATGACTCCATGGCTATGAGAGGGTTGAGGAGAAACTGAGGGAGCATGGGAAGCCTGGTGACTGTGATAGTAAGAATAGTCATAGTCAGAGTGGTGATAAGTATGGTGAGGCGGATCATGTCAAGAGTAATACTGGTAGTATGTTCGGCTATGTCATCTATGATAAGACCGCACCAGAGAAACATAATGAGATGGATGGCCGGTCCTGTGATGCATCTGGTGGTGTACCAGTAGATGTGGAGACCATGGTGAGTGTGGTGATCCCCTTGAAGAAGGAAGAGAAGAATGATGTAGGTATCTTGTGTCAGAGGATGGTGATAAATGGTATCTCGATGCGTGACGTCTAGTTTGCTCACAAAGGGAACGACCCCTGTCATCTGTTGTTAGAGGAGTAGAATATGGAGACGGCGGTGCCAAGGACAGTGCCGGTGAAAATGACAACTGTTCCGGGCTCATTGGTATTATTGAAGCGGATTCATAGGGTGCTTTCTTCGGTGCCAAAAACACGCATGCTCATTGTGTCGAAACCCTCAGTACCGGAAAGGTCGTCATATGAATGGCCGGTGCTGAAGTGCATAGTGTCGAGGTCTGCGGTGCCCATGTTAACAACACGTGAGTAGTCAGTGCCGATGTTGTCGGCACCAATATCATTGGCACATGCGGTTCCAACACCGATGTTGTCGGCACCAAAGTAGCCGGTGCTACCGCTGGCAATGCTGTCCAACAGATCGTTATGACCACTGACGGTGCTGTTGTGCGTTTTTGTCAGGATTTTGGCTCTGAGAGCAACTTGTGCTTGGGGGCCGCCATGCCAGCTGTCCCAGGCTTATCACCAATACTTACACGTGTTGACGGTAAAAAGCGAGGGGGCAACACTCTATTTCGGGCTGGAGCCAACTACAGAGAAACGGCTTTTCTTTTTCTCTACCCTCAAAGACAGCGGACTGGAAACAATGGGAGAATGTTCCAGCAGTTGAAGCGCCTTGTCGAAGAGGAACATTTTTATTCTCATCTCCCTGTTCTTATGTGCCCTGACCGAAAGCTTGGCACAACGGGTGTATTTTTGAGGCACATAAGCCTCGCCAAGGCATTTAATGCACTCAGCATGGCCATCCGAAGCAGGCATGGTTTCATTTCTTAAAACTGAGGGAGCCCAGCATAGTTAACTATAAACTACTTAAAGAAAAAAAAAATCTTCTTTTTTGGGGAGGAGGGGACTATATTAACTAACTGACTGTAACTATAAGAAATGTGACTAACTACAAACTCTAACAACTATATACTATATTCCTGTCAGGATTTCCCTGAGGAGAGAAGACTCGCTCCATCTGCGACCATGGGCGGTGAAGGAGGAACTAATGAGAGCCAGACCGTGCGAGACATCAAAAGGATGTGCGGTCCGGCAGATCACTGCTCAAGAAAACTCCGATCTGCGGTGCCGGGACAACCTGACACTTACAGTGGAGCACCCACAGGGACATCACTCGAAAAAGAACTGTCACGTGCTGAGGCTCTGCAGCATGACACAGTAACTCTCAATTCTGGAAGCCTCAGCAGAATATCATAGGAAATGGTTTTGGGTAAACTGGAACTGGGAAAGTATTTGGGTTACTCTACAAAAACAACTGTGTGGTGGAGGCCAGTGTGTGACCTGCATGCACTGAAGGCACCCAGATTTGCAGGGCAGGTTGTTAACACTGCATATTGCAATTTAAAGGAATAAAAATATGTATATTATATGGGCTACATATAAATCTCACAGCTAACTAGCTTTCAACTTATAAAGTGTACCAAATTCAGGATTTTTAGTAGCAAGGTAAAACTAGCAAAGACTCTGGGTAGTTTCCACTTTGCTACTGTTTATATCTTTCCCAAGATACATCAGACACACAGCTTTCTATCAGCACACTTAAGAAGCCAGTACAAAATCAGTTTATATTCAGTCTATATTTTTCCTTCACAACCATAAGATCTACAAATAGTAACTCTCATGTTTCAGATTTGGAATTATATTGATTCAGAAAGGTAGAACTTCTAACGTGACAATGAATGAAAGGAAAGATTGTATATTGTCCAAGTCTTTTGGAGTAGTACAATAGTACTGGTATGGCATTTTTCCCTTCTTTCAAAGACCATACACTCACAGGAAGTTTCTAAAAGGTGGATCCCCAATATGACATGAGATGAATTTTGAAGAAATAATTCCTCCAAAAATTTTTTATAGTTTGCTCACATTTTAGTATAATGCTGGACCCATAAAAGTTTAACAAAGTTGAAAATGCCTACTTCCCAAGGATGAGTAGCAATATTTCCTATATTAGTGCCATCTATTTCTGCAAAATCTCAGGCTAATTTAAAATAAAATAAATGTGCATTCTTGACTGCCAACTATGGCATTCTTTGTTACTTTGATAAATCCTCAAAAAAAAATAAAATAAAAAATAAAGTATCCAGTCCACTACAGAGTATTTAAAATATAACTAGAGCTCCATAATCTAATTCAAGTGATATCTACTTCTTTCTGGGTTTCCTTTTTCCAATTCCAGTCTTTATTGAAATTCATCGAAGGTTTAAATTTTCTAGAAGTAGCATGTCTATTTCTTTGTTAAGATTCTAGGCTAACACACAAATGCACAGCAATCTTCTGATCCAGCTACTCACCACTACATTCTGAATGGGGAATCAAAGCTCTCTCAACTCAGCTGTTTCTAGATATTCCTATTTAAATGCATCAAGTAATTTACAATTAACATAGTTGTAAAAATGGTCATAATCTAAACATATTGTCAGAAGTGGTACTCTTGAAGAGAAATTACAATTAAATTGTTTCATAATGATTCACACTTCAAAATGCAGTTTACCTTTTGAAGCGTGATGAATAAATGCAGTAGTTCCATCTTCTAGTTGAACTGCCTGTCCATCTTCCAAACGCAGACTGTCCCCTGTTCGTGGGAAGGAAAAGGGGAGGGGGCGCAGAGAGGAAACATAACTTTAGACATCACCAATCACAAACATATTCAATTTAACACTTTAACAGATCAGAAACTATATTCATAAAAATATCAACTTTCAAATAATAAAAGTCTATGTATTAGACGTCTGAAATTATTGTAACAATAGTATATTGATTCTAACATTATATCAATGTAGTCAATACTTTAAAACATATCTGTGGATATAATACACTTACTACTTTTTGGCATAGATACATGTTGAACATAGGCAGCAGAACCATCTTCTAATTGAATCACCTGGCCATCCATCAATTTACCATCTAGAATACATGATTATATTTATGGAAAGTGTGCAATTTGACAGTTCATATTTTAAACCATACCAATGAAATACTGGAATAAAAGTATTTCATAGAACAAAAATATAGTTTAACAAATATTAAGCACAGTACAGTGAAACCTTTGTTATCCAGCACTCTGTTAACCAGAAAACTTTGTTAACCGGCATTGCCCCCAGTCACAAAACTGTCACATCTTCAGGCACACAGTCCTGGCTTGGTTTACCATGATTGGCTTAACAATTTTTTATTTAAGAAGTACTAATCATCTTTAACTCCAAATAGAAATGTGAGACCAACTGCTTCACACTACAAAACTACCAATATTAAAAACATGAGTTTTACTATTATTGTCCATTGGTTTTTCCTAGGTTGATGGGACCCTCAAATAACCGGAATTTTTAGATAACCGGAACACCCTAATCCCCGAGCGTGCCAGATAACACAGGTTTTTCTGTATTAGGATGTTTAAAGTGCTTTGAGATCCCAGGATAAAAAAATGTAAATAAAGGATAAAGTGGTGTTATTACAAACACACCAAGTTTAGAAAACTAAACTTTTCAGATCTTTCAATATGTAGGATGTCTCCATTTAACATCAAACTTTAAAGAAAAAACATCTCTTTTTCAGTTGACTTTCCTATTCTTAAGTTTATATCCATCTTTTTACAAGTATTAGTATAAGTAGTAAATATTTATTTTGTAGTATCACTCAAAAACAGTGATGGGCAACCTGGGGCCCACTGGGGTTCCACCTAGGGTCCACGGATCCCCTGGCTGCCCCCTCCCCCATAGCCATCTTGCCTACTGGGGCACTGCACTTCCTACTCTTCCCTCTCCCTTCCAGCACTTTCAGAGCACCACAAATCTGTTGATTCCTGTTCCATTTCCACTCCTTCCCTCCCTCCCAGAGCATGAACAGCTGCAAACAGCTGTTGATTTGCAGCACTCCAAGCTCTGGGAGGGAGGGTGCAGAGTGGGGATGGAGCGTGAATCAGCAGATTCATGGCACTCCCGAAGTACTGGTAGGGAAGAGAAGGAGAAAGTGTAGTGTTCCAGTGTGCAAGAGGCGAGGGGGAGTGGTTCACAGGCCGCAGGTTGCCCATCTCTGGTCATATGGCCCACTGAGACAAAGGAGGGTCACTCATGTGGTCCATTCACTGGTTAGCCATCGCTGCTCAAAGGCTTCAGTTGGGATCAGAGTCCTACTGTCCTGGATGCTATACAAACAATCAAATTAATACAGTGAATACTCTGAAGTACCTCACACTGGCCACTGTTAGAAAACAAAATATTGGACCAAACGGACCTTTGTTCTGACCCATGTGGCAGAGTCAGTCCCACTCCTGGGCCCCTGACCTCTGTTCAGCCCACTGTCCCACAGTCTAGAAGTCACAGTAATATGGCTTAATCACCTTGGTTTGAGTTTTGTTGTCTCCCTGTAATCTTTTAACAAGGTCGATGCTGTTCTCTTGACTCCTCCTCCACTCTCCAAACTCCTCCACAGCTCTCCAAACTTCTTCTCAATTGGCTCCACACTCTCACAACTCTCCAAACTCCTTCCCAACTCTGGCTCCCCTCACCCACAGGGAGGGTTCTTAAATACGCCTCCAGGCAGCCTCAATTGGTTTCACCTGGGCCTTAATTGATTTTGCAGCTGCCCTGTCTCAGCTGCCCCTAATTAGCCAGGATTGCTGACTCTCTCTCTGCCTCTTTCCCCTTCCATCAAGCTCTTTAACCTGCTGAATCACCCCTGCTCTGTCACACCCACTATGGCCATTCTTATGTAAAGTGAAGAATTACTTATTTTTAGTCAGCACATACCTTTAGAATTGTGTTGTATGTAGGCTGTGGAACCATCAGCAAGTGTAACTGCCTGCAAACTTACACCTTCCATGTTTTCTAAATTATCACCATCTATGGGGAGGAGGGGGAGAGAGGAAAAAAGTTAATTTACCAATATTGTCAACTCAACCTGCTATAAAATTGTGAATCAAGTTCCAAAAATCATGAGCTTTACTTATAAGCTTTTAAGTCAGCCTTTTGATTTGAACCTCTTGACTGCATTGAGGGCACATTGTTAAGTTTTTATCCACAAACATGAGAATTAAAAAATTGTATTTTAAATAAAAGCTGAAATCTTCATGAAATAAAATGATTTGACAAACTAGGAATTTAAAGAATGCACCTAAGATTCACATGCAATCCTGAGAAATGACAGTAATACATGACAAGGTTAAGAACTGTTTTCTGCATCATCGGTCATTAATACATTACAAGACCATTTTGAACACAATATAGTAATTCAGAAAAGTATTTATTCTTTTATAAATATTAAACATGTCAAAGAAAGCATCAACATGTTAATATCGATCCTAAAATATCATTCTTTTTGTAAAACAATCTATTTTGTACATCATTTTATATGTAAATTGGAATTACATAATCTAAAATAGAAATAGTGTATTTTAATTTGATTGGAATCAAATTTTATACTGAAAACACAATTGTTATTTTAATTAAACCATTTCATTTCAGAATTAAGTCACATTACGATTAATCAAATGCTATGAAAAATAACTTGGTCTTTTTATTATTTCCTCTGTTTGCAATAAACTACATCATCTCAAAGTTCAGAAGTTCAACAGAGTACATACTCTGCCTTTTCTGGATGCTAAACAGCAAAGATACAATGATGTAGAGAAATCTGAATGCTCACCTTGCACAGCTACTGCTTCTGTCAAACAAAGGGTTACATGCTGAGCCTCCATCCCTCCTCCAGAAAACTCAGTCATTCCCTGAGAGTCTCGATTTATCTGGGCTAATAACATTGTTTATCTAGAAACAAACAGCAAGTTTATAAAAAATAAAGACACAGGACATTAAGAAGTAACATCAAGAAATATGTGTAATCTGTGGAACTCCTTGCCAAAGGACGTTGTGAGGACCAGGACTTTAACAGGGTTCAAGAAAGAATTAGATAAATTCATGGAAGTTAGGGTCCATCAATGCTTATTAGCCAAAATGGGTAGGAATGATATCCCTAGCTCCTATTTGTCATGGGCTGGAAATGAATGACAGGAGAGGGATCACTTGATGATTACCTATTTCTGTTCATTCCCTCTGGGGCATCTGGCATTGGCCACTGTCAGGATATTGAGCTAGATGGACCTTTGGTCTGACCCAGTATGGCTGTTCTTATGTTTACATAATCAAAATAGGTTTTCTATTTTGAGTCTTATTAAAGTCAATGTACTAGCCATGCAAGTAACTGCTCAATAGTAAGACTAAGAGGTTCACAGTCTTGCCCATGCTGAAGAAAGGCCTAGATATTAGCATGTCAGACTGAACAATCCAGCTGTTTATTTTCTGGCTCCCTTATTAAAGATTCTATTAAAAGCATCACCAGCTCAAAAATAACTGGTTTTGGTTATAAAATTGTCACTATGAAAAGAGGAATGGCAAATGGAGACGGCAACCGAGCATTTACCCGATTAAAAAAAATCAGATAACCATATCCCTATATAAATGAGGAATGTATTTTATCCCAGTTTCAACACAAGGAACTACAGGACATTGTTGGATCCTGAAGTCTGCAAGTATGATTTCAAAATCATACATTATATACTTAGTCAGCAGTTACAAATTAAATAGACAACAGTGCCGTCTCACAGCTCTGATATTGGTTCTATTACTACAGAAGTCAAAGCTGGACTACACAAACCATACATTTCACTTGCAACCGCGAGCTGAATTCTTCAATTCTCTTTAGGTAACATTACATAACCATTGGCCACTGCAGAGGATCATTCCTCTTTGCTGACATATTTCACATAGAGCTGTAGATTTAGGAAAAAATCATACAGAAAGCCTACAATAATTTATGAAGCTTCTGAAGTGCTTAGCTAGTTGGCTTTGAAGTGGTATTTCCATTTCAACTCTTCCAATTAGGCAGCTACCCTTAAAGCAGGGGTGGGGAACGTTTTTTGGGTTGAGGGCCACTGACCCACAGAAAAATCAGTTGAGGGCCACACACCCATGAGAAACCAAAACAAAACAAAAAACAAACAAAAACAAAAAAAACCCATCTCTCACTGACATGGCCCCCAACTAAGGAGCAGAAAGATACTCCCCCACATTCCCTCGCACACCAGAGCTTAGGAAGCCACATCCAACCCTACTTTCTAGTGAAAAAAAATAGATAATTTAGAAAAACACACACAAGGGTTACATTTGCATATAACTGACAGGCAGATTGGTATCTCATCAGTTGGTTCCCTTATAAAAAAAAAAAAAATCAGTGCCCATAAATCACCTGAATCGGATATTATTCATACCAGGATTCTGAAGGATAAAAAAATAAAAAGTGAAATAGCAGACATTTTTTAGTGGTGGTATCCTGGGTAGAGCATGGGACTGAGGCACTGAAGATGTACAATTCAACCCTGGTTCTGCCACTGGCCAGCTAGGTGACTACAGACAAGTCACTTCTCTCCCGTTGCTTCAGTTTCCTCATTTGAAAACAGAGATAATGATACTGACCTCCTTAGTAAAATGTTGTAGTGCTTATCTTTAAATCCTATCTAAAAGTTAGGTATTATTAACGATGATGGTCTAAGTCAGTGTTTCTTAAAGTGGTCCGCAGACCTACTCTGAGAAAGCTACTACCAGGCTGCTCTGGCTTGTTTACTTACCGACTCTGCAACCATGGAGCCTCACAACTCCCATTGGCTGCAGTTCGCTAAAGGGAGCTGTGGCTGCAGAGCCAGTAAGTAAACAAACCAGAGTGGCCCAGTAGCAGCTTTCTCAGAGTGAGTCCACAGACTAGGGATATGAGCGACTAGTCAACTATCCGATACGCAAATGTTTATCGAATAGTCAACACACTAGTTGACTAGTTGCTTTCTTTCACCCTTGCTGCCTCTATTACAAAGAGGCAGCAAAGGGATAAAGAGGAGGGGATGCTGCCACTTTGAAATGATGCGTGCAGCCTGGGGTTCTCAGTTCGTCCCGGGCTGCAGGCAGCATTGCAAAGAGGCAGCACCACATGGAGCCTGGGGCCAGCTGGTGACTCCACCACTGACCCCAGGCTCCATGCAGCGCTGTCATTTTGAAACGTCGCAGGGAGCATGGGGCCAACAGAGGGCCTCCTTATTTCCCCGCTGACTCCGTGCTCCACACAGCACTTTTGCTTTTGAAGTGTAGCAACAGCCCTGTTGCTATACATCAAAGGCGGAGGTGCCCTTATCAACTAATCAAATAGTCAATGCAAATTGCATTGACTATTTGATTAGCCAATTAATCAAAATTGTACATCCCTATTGCAGACCATTTTGGGAACCACTGGTCTAAGTTCTTAGTACTTACATAATGCTTTACATATTCAGAGTTCTCCAGTCATTAACTAATTAATTTTCACTGCATCTCTCTCAAACTGTCTACTAACTATCCCCATTCTACATATGGGAGAGCAGAGACAAGGAAGTTTACTTTCCTTGACCATAACTACATTGTGAATCTGGCAGGGATTAGAATGAAGGAGGCCCTGATCACCAGTCCAGTGCTTAGTCCACTGAACGGGGGACTACAGTTGCTGAAAACTGGAAAGTTGCTAATTAGGTATCTGTCTTTTAAACCGAGTCAAGGAAGATCATTGGTATAAACTAGGTGTGTAAAACACCATTCAATCATTAAACCAGTTAAATCTAACATTTAACCAGTTAACTGGTTAAGTGGGATTCCAGGAAGGAACCACTTCAGCCTGGCTGGAGCAGCCTTCTCCCTCCCCCTCCCCTTCCCAGCTCTGCCAGCTCCGACCTAGCCTATGGTGCAGTGGGCCCAGCAGGGCTGGAGCAGCACTCTGCCCGTGGTGGCATGGGCAGGCCTGGACACTGGTTAACCAATACCCGGTAAGCTTCACAGACATCTTCCATGGAAAATGTTGGTTAAAGTTTAGCTAAGCAATTGAAAACGCCGTCTTATAATACAATGTATTAGGAAACCTTAACAAGTGATAGCAATACCTTCCTACTTAAAATGATTTGGAGGCAGAACTGGACAGTCAGTTGCTGGCACTATGTGCATTCAGTGTAGAAAACATACAGAGTAATGTAAAAAGTATCAGAGAGATAGCTGTTAGTCTGTAAATTTAAAAACAATGAGTAGTCCTGTGGCACCACAGAGATTAACAAAATATATAGTATGAGTTTTTATGGGTAAAACTCACTTCATCAGATGATGAGATGGAGTGGGAATAACAGAACCAAGAGAAATGTAAAGTTCAAATGGACTTTAAAACACTGGCAACTAATGGCAGGCAAAAGTTATCTTCCATAAATGCACACCAAATGCACATTTAATTTAAAAAATTAGCTTTGAACTTGCATAAATTGGAGGAAAGAATTACTGGATTTAGCATTAATAATGCCTGTGCAGAGTGCAGCAACAGTCAAATAAGATGCCAATGTACTCAAACAAACAGAACATTTTGTGGTTTTTTCCCTTGATTTAGAGAAGGAATGGAATGCTTAAATCAGAAGGTTCTATGGGAGTTGAAAACAGCAGCTGGCACTGGGCAGAAGAAATCAGAAGTAGCAGCTAGAATTTAGGCAGTTGGAAGCAGTGTTCCCTCTAAATTTTTCCACCCATGTGCTGAATGAATTTTGTTACGTGCATCATGTTGAGGTAATTACTGGATGTGTGCCACCAGTACAAACAAAAAAACCTAAGTATAGTGTGTGTGTGTGTGTGTGTGTATATATATATATTTTTAAGTTACCATAGGAATAATTATTCCAGCCAGGACAGATTAGGCATTTAAAAGCTCACTACTCAAATAATTAAATTTAAGAGCAAGAGAGAATTATTAAATGCACAGATCAGTCCAAAAAACTAAAACAACACACTGAGAAAAAAGTTATCAAAAAGTAACAACACAAGTGTTGAGGTGAGTGTGAAAGACGGTGTGTCAGAGGGAGAAACACACATAGTATGTGTAAGACACACACACACACTGCCCCTTTAAGTGTACTGCCCTTTTAAGCAGATTGACACTCAGCAGTCTGAAGGCTGCTTGTTTAGACACAGCAGTAGCTCCCTCAGTCTCACTCCTGAGCTGTGTCCCCCCATACTGTGGAGATGGGGTACATGGGCAAGAGGGGGAAGAAGGGCACACCCTGACATCAGCACCCCTTCACTCTATAACAAGCAGAAGGCTCCCAAAAGCAGCCTGTCGCATGCTCTAAAGCAAAGGACAGTGGAGGAAGGGGTAGCTAAAGTGCATCATTTGACTGCCTGCTGGGCTGCTGCCCAGCCCCACACCTTACAGGGAACTGTGGCTGGAAGCAACAATGTTAGGGTACGTCTACACTTGCTCCCTGTCTCGAATTAGGGATGCAAATGTAGCCGACCGAAATTGCTAATGAAGCGGGGATTTAAATATCTCACGCTTCATTAGCATAATCTTGCCTGCGCGCTATTCCGACCGCCAGCTGATTCGAAGCAGGAAGTGCGCTCTGGGCCGCGTTAGTTCGAATCAAACCCCTTGGTTCGAACTAGTGTTACTCCTCTAGCATTAACTAGTGTTACCCTGAGTTAAGAAAATGGCATCAGAAAATAGAAACGTCAATTGGGTTATGAATACCTACAAAGTCAGCAGCTAGTAATTTGGCAGGAGGTACCTACAACTGAGAGCTGGACGAATGAGAATGATAGCTAGCAAAGAGAAGTTAGGAATGAAGTGGTTAGTTGAGAAATAGAAAACTGGATTTTGGAAGTGAGACACAGAAAATTGAAAAAGGAGTAATGATAGTAGCAGGATCCCTACACAGAGAGGAGAA